AGTTTTAAAATATCGGCATATTGTGCATCCTAGAATAAATTCAATTTTCATTCATTTATTGAAACCTTTTTCCTGCAGGTTCAGCTGTTATACATATATATATGTGGATGCATACTGTATAGTACCCCCATGCATCTTTTCCTACTTTTGGCACCTTCTTCTTCCCTTTGACTATTGAGCTAAAGTAACAAGTACATCTCTCCACTGTGAGATTAATGAAGTCAATCAATCAATAAAGCTTGGCCAAGCTTGGAGCTTGGCCTGTTTTTCAGTGTTGTCCTGTTTCTCTGACTATGACTAACTACATGTGCTCGCTTTCATTCTCTGACATGGGAGCTGGTTCAGAGCTCGTCTACCTGGCTGTGTGTTTCCTTGATCGGGCTGCCTGTGGAGCTAGTTGACAGGTGCCTTTTGCATTCCTGTCTTCCTGTTAAAAGGGAGTTTTGCCTCTCCACTGTAGCTACAAGCATGCTAAGTGTGAGGGATTGTCTTCGAGTAAATGAGTCAATGCAATCAACTGGTTTTCCTCAGATAGAAAACTGAATTAATTTGACTGGATGATCTGGCTGAATTGTAAAGTGCCTTGAGATTACATGTTGTGAATTGGCGCTATATAAAAAAACAGAATTGAATTGAATTTCCCAATTTATGTGGAAAAATGTTCTTGCTTTTACTTGATTGCTTTTATCAGTGACTTTCACTTATTATTTTTACTTTTACTAAGTTAGCAACAATCCCCATAAGTAGGATTTTAGTCACAAAAAGCTCAGCGCTGAAAGATACTTCATTCTACATTGATCATTGCATAATGGAGAGTTAAGTGGAAGGATATCAGTAGGCACAGCCATTTACATACACTTCTCTAATAAATTGCTGATTTTATTTTTTCCTTGGAACGACCTTGGCACCAGCATTCTGCCAGTAAAACACCAGTAACTGCTTCAATGATCATACTACTGAAGCCTAGAGGCCAGTAGAATTACCCAACCACTTATGCCACAAAGTTTCATTTTCATAACATTAAATATTTGTATTAATTTCTGTATTCATTTTTTATGAGTTTTGTGTGTTTTTATATAAGATTATAAATATTTTTTTTTAAATCTAATTTTACCAAAAATAACATTTAATTTGTTTTTTTAACTAATCACAAGATATATTTGAGCATTTATTAATTTACTAGAAACAAATTCAGATTAAATTAAAGAACTACATAAAGCCCAGACTGCTTTTATAATCTATAGATATGTTGATGCACTGAGTGAATTCATTTTCTCACCATACACCCTCAGATCGTACTCCCTTTGTTGTTCTCCTCCAGCATTCACAGCCACACAGGTGTATCTACCTGTGTCACTGACCTGTGCACTGCTCAGAGAAAGCACCCTGCCAGCAGACGCCAACTGAGAAGACAGCAGAAACAAAGCCAGGCCCTGGAATTTACAAACTGATGTGAAGGATGTCTCCGGTAACATCATTGTTTTTCACCCAAACACTGTTTGAATCAAACATTAAAAACTGGAAAAACAATGTTGTAGGGCTGCAACAACGAATCGATAAAATCGATAAAAATCGATTTTTAAAAGCGTTGGCAACGAATTTCATCATCGATTAGTTGTGTCGCGCGATTAATGCGTCATCCGCCGCCGCCGTCATCACATCCACTTAACTGAAACGGGGAAGAAAAAAAAATACGGCAGAGCGAGCCAGCGCCGGAGGTGCAGTGTTGTCAACTCCGTGACTTTTCAGACCCCTCCAGCGACTATTTT